GGTCATTGGGGTCATGGGGGGACACTGGGACATGGGGGACATGGGGACAGATGGGGGACACTGAGGACATGGGGGGTCACTGGGGACATGGGGGTACATGGGGACATGGCTGAGGAGGGACCCCCTGTTCCCCCAGACCTGGACAGATGAAGGTCCCCCCTGTCCTCTTCCTCCTCCTCCTTGGCCTCACAGAGCAATGGGGACCCTTGGGGACATCAGGGACTCCCGTGGGACCCTTGGGTGAGTTTGGGGTCCCAGGCCTAGAGTGGGGAGGTACCAGGCCCATACTGTAAGGTCCTGGGGTGACACTGGGGGTCCAAGGCCTAAACTGGGAGGTCCCTGACCCAAATTGGGAGGTTCCAGTCCCACAGTATGAGGTCCCAGGCCCATCTTGGGAGGTCCCTGTCCCATTCTGGAAGGTCCCAGCTCCATCTGGGGAGGTTCTAAGGTGACAACTGGGGATCCCAGGCCTATAGTGGGAGGTTCTGAGGTGACAACTGGGGGTCGCAGGCCCATAATGGGAGGTCCCAGGGTGACACTGGGAGGTTTGAGTCTCACACCAGGAGGTCCCAGCTCCATACTGGGGGTTCCAGGCCCATCCTGGGGTGCCCCAGTTCATCCTGGGCAGTGTCAGGGGTCCCTGACTGTGGTGTGTCCCCAGGGGTGGTCCTGTACCCCTTCGGGCCGGGCGTGGGGGATGAGCCCACTCCCCATGAGGACGACGGGACGAGCCCCGAGATCTTTCTGTGGGAAAACTTCTCCTTCTTCGGGAGCGGCCACCACTCTTGCTACGTGGGTCACGTGACTAGAGGGACACGGGGGGGACATGGAGGGTGGCACTGTGGAGGGTGGCACTGGGGGGGTGACACCAGGAGGGGAGGATGGTAAGTGGGATGGGGGCCACCAGAGTTGGTGGCACCTCCTTTCTTGGCCACATTGGTGAGTGGAGACCCTTGGGGACATGGGGGACACCTGCAGGACCCCCAGGTGGTTTTGGGGTCCCAGGCCCATCCTGGGAGGTTCTGGGGTGACACTGGGGGTCCCAGGTCCATCCTGGGGGGTCCCAGTCCCATACTGGAAGATCCTAGCTCCATATGGGGAGGTTCGGGGGTGACACTTGGGGTCCCAGGCCCATCCTGAGATGTTCTGGGGTTACACCTGGTTTGGGGTCACTGTGACTGGCAGTGTCATAACTGGGACCACTGGGGGGGTCACTAGTGGGTGCCCCCCAGGTGTCTCACAGGTGCCCTTTGCCCCCAGGTGAACAACAATGGGGTGGTGTCGTTCGGGACGAGGGTCCCCGAGTTCACTCCCCAGCCCTTCCCGCTGCCCGGCCACCGCCCCTTCGTGGCCCCATACTGGGCTGACGTGGACACGCGGCTGGGGGGAGACGTCTGGTACCGCCAGAGCCGTGACCCTGAGCTGCTGGAGCGCCTGGCACAGGACCTGGCACCCACTGTGCCCCCAGGGGACCCCCCACCGCGCCCCACCTGGGCCCTCGTGGCCACCTGGGACCGTGTGGCCTATTTTGGGGCCGCCTCGGACAGGGTGAGACACAGGGGATAAGGAGGGGAGGGGGCTCAAGTGGCTTGGCCTTCAAGCGAGGTGTCCCCAGCCACAGTGGCACCAACCATAGTGTCCCCAGCCATGGTGTCCCCAACTTTCTGGGGGACACAGGGCTGGGGACACAGCTGGGGGTGGCAGTGCCAGCGTGACACAGTGACAATGTCCCCCCCAGGTGAACACTTTCCAGGCTGTGCTGGCCTCCGATGGTGTCACCTGCTTTGTCCTGCTCAACTACGGGGACTTGCAGTGGACAACAGGCATTGCCAACATGGGGGACCCCCACACTGGACTGGGAGGCATCCCCGCACAGGTGAGGACACGGGGACACCCCCAGGGACCCCCACACTAGGCAAGGGGGGTTCTGGGATGGGGGGGTAAAGAGTTCTGGGGGGGAATTAAGGGGATTTGAGGTGAAATCAGGGATTTTAGGTGGAATTAAGGGAATTTTGGGTGGAATTAAGGGAATTTTGGGTGAATTGTGCATTTTAAGTGAAATTAGGGGGATTTTAGGTGGAATTAAGGGAATTTTGGGTGGAACGAGTGGATTGGGATGAACTAAATCTCCTTTTGGGTAAAATTGCGGGAACTGGGGCAGAACTGCCCCCCTCACCACCCACCCTGTCCTGTCCCCCCCGTGTGTCCCCCCATATGCCCCCCAGGCCGGGTTTAACAGTGGGGACGACGTGCACTACTACAACGTGCCAGGGTCCCGCACGCCCACTGTGCAGACCCTCGGCCACCGCAGCAACCTGGGGGTCCCGGGGCGCTGGGCCTTCCGTGTCGACCACTTCGAGGCCACTGAGGGGCCCCTCGAGATGCCCTCAAGGACCTCCAGGACTCCCTCAGTGCCCCCCGAGTCCCGCAGGACCACGGCAGAGCGGGTGTATAACTGCGGGTTGTGAGCAGGTGACACCCGGGGCTCTGGGGAGGGGGCTGTGCCCGCACACCCGGGGCACCTGAGACCCCTCCCCTCAGCGCCCCCCGGAGGCCACGTGGTGATAGGAACACCAATAAACACCTGTTGAGCAATACCTGTGTGCAGGTGTGTGTGCACACCTGTGGGGGCCTGTGAAGGGAACAGACCGGGTAGGAGAGGGGGGATGACAACACCTGGGTGGTACACGGGTGTGACAGACACAAACCTGGATCCCACACGGGTGTGACAGACACAGGCGATCTGAGGGTGGTTTGGGGGGTTCCCTGAGCTGGTTTTAGAAGGGGCTGGCAGAGTCCTTTAGGATGGGGAGCTGGTTTTGGGGGGGTTTGAGGGGGTCTCTGGGCTGGTTTAGGGGGTCTCTGGGGGGTCCTCGGCAGGGATTCCCTGGGCTGGTTTAGGAGGGCTGGGGCTCCCTGGGATGGGGGGCTAGAGGGGTTCTTGGGCTTGTTTAGGGGGACTGGAGGGGTCCCTGGGCTGCTTTGGGGGGGCTGGAAGGGTCTCTGGTTGGTTCAGGGGTGCTTGGGGGGTCCCTGGGCTGGTATTCCTGAAAAACAGGTGGCTTGACCCCCAACCATCCCAGTCACTCCCAGGGCAGCAGGATATGGTGGAGTTTGAGACCCCCCCAACTATTCCCATCACTCCCATGGCAACGGGATATGGTGGAATCAGAGACCCCTGGCACCAGGGGACCCCCCAACATCCCTAAAATTGGAGGGAAGCCCAACCTGGCACTGGGATGGGTGTTTCCATGGCATCTGGGATCCCTTTATTTCCATGAAACTCCCCCAAAAAAACAGAACTCACCATGCTGATTCCTCACTGTGAAGTGCTGGGATTCAGGATACAGGAGAGTGGGATTTAGGGGGGATTTGGCAGGAATTTCATCACCAGCCAAGTGATGCTGATTTATCAATTATTAATTAATTAATATCCAGTGTTAATCAGCAGAGTTCGGGGGGTTTCCAGTGACATCAGGTCTGTCCCAGCTACGGCTGGTGACAAGGTGGTAACAAAAGTTACTGGAAAACACTGGGATGAGGTGGAAAACCATTGGGATGAGGCAAAAAACCACTGGGATAACAGGAAAAACACCAAAATGAGGTCAAAACCTGTGGAGGAACATCAGAGTGAGTGGGAACGGTTCTAAGTCTGGAGAGACTTATATGGAGCTTAGAGAAGATGATAAATTATGGACTTTTGTGTTACTTCCCAGTTCGTCCCATGTTTTATGTACCCTTACATATATAACTCTGTATTAATCCCCTTAGATTGTATTGCCCCAAACATGTCTGTACTTGTCCACAAGTTTTCCCATCAAAAGTTGTTTACCACCTTGTTCTCCCCTGCTTTCCTGCTCATCCCCCACTGACTGGCCGATAAGTGCTGCAGTGCGGAGTGAGCTCCCATTGGTCCCCGCTGCTTAACTCCTCCTAAGTTCCTCCCACTTTCCCTCATTCCCCAGTCCTGCAATACCCTGAGATGTCCATCCCATGCTCTGCCCTGGTTATCAGACCTCCCCTCACTCGAACCCTATTATAAGTCCTTGTTCCCCCTCAATAAAGTGGCCATTGCACCCTGACCTTCCATCTTGTCAGAACCCTCTGTGCAGTGTTGCGTCCCTATTCCTTTCTCCATCGGGCCGTGGCAAAAACCCACTTGGATGAGGTGGAAGAACACCAGGATGAGGTGGGAAAAGACCACAATGAGGTGGAAAACCACCAAAATGAGGTGGAGAAGCACTAGGATGAAGTGGAAAAACACTAGGAGAAGGAGAAAGACACTGGGATAAGGCAGAAAAAAACACTGTGATGGGGAAAAGCAGCAGGATAAAGCAGAAAAACACCAAAACGAGGTGGAAAAACACTAGGATGAGGTGGAAAGACAATGGGTTTAGAGGAAAAACACCGGGATGAGGCAGAAAACACCAGGATGAGGTAGAGAAACAGTGAGATGAGGCGGTAAACTGCCAAAATTACGTTGAAAAACACTGGGATAAGGTGAAAAACACTGAAATGAGGTGGAATACACACAAATTCTTTGAGGAAGGAGGCACTGAGGCCACAGCACTTCTCCAGGCTGAAGGCTCCAAGCTCTTCCCCAGCTACAAGCAGAAGTAATCCAGGGCTTCGTGTCCATAGGGGTTGGAAGTCCAGACAATGTCGGCTCTTCCAAAGCTCTCCAGCATCCGGCCCAGCTCTGCGCTCACTGCTCCCAAACATTCCCTGTCCAGCTGCTCCTCCAAAATCCAGCCAGGATCCAGCCCTGACTTGTAGCAATCCACAGGGATAGGATACACGACCAGGCGGAGATCTGGCAGGACCACAGTTTTCCATAACAAATCCTTGAGCCCTGCTGTGGAGAAGGAATTCCCAAAGAGTCCGAGGGAGCGGAGGCAGGAGCAGTGCCGGAGTGACACCAGCAGGGCATCCAGGTGTGAGTCTGTCAGCCGGCATTCCATGAGGTCCAGGTGGAGCAGGGAAGCCGAGGTTTCCTCCAGGAGATGCTGAAGGGGTTGGAGAAGAGTTTGGGAGAAATCATGGCCGCTCAGATCCAGCCTTTTCAGGGCCGGAGCATGGAAGCTTTGGGAGAGGAAGGCGAAGTCAGCGGGAAGGAGGGAGCAGAAGGCCAGTTCCAAGCTTTCCAATGGAGCCTCGAGTTTGCTGCCAGGATGAAAAAGGAGATGTGACCCTGTGGTGACATCATGGAGCTGGGAGGGATGCGCTAATAGATCAAACCCTCCATGAAACCTTGAAATGTTGGAATGGCTCCCAAATTCCTGGGGGAACTGCAGCAAACAAGACCCATGATTCCCTTCATGATCATGGAATCATGGAATTAGGAAATCACTGAGGTTGGAAAAGAGCTCCAAGACTATCAAATCCAACCTTTGAGAATCATGGGATTATGGGATTCCGTAGTCATGAGATCAGGGAGCCTTGGAATTGTGGAATCATAGAGTCATGGGATCATGGAGTTACAAGGTCACAGAATCGTGGGGTCATGGGATCATGGAATTGTGGGAGCCCTGAGATCATGGATTCATTGCATCATGGAATCATGGGGTTATGGAATTATTGGATCATGGAGTTATGGAATTACTGGGTTATGGGATTACAGAGTTATGGAATCATGGAATCATGGGGTGATGGGATTATGGAGTCATGGAGCCAGCCAGGAGCACCTGGCACTGGTGGAGCTCCAGGATGCAGCACTTGCTGTCCTCTGGAAACAGGGAATCAGGGAATTCTGGGATCACGGAGTCAAGGAGGCATTAAGGTTGGAAAAGGCCTTCAAGATGGTCAAGTTCAACCTTTGAGAATCCTGGAGTCAAGGAATTATGGGATCGTGGTGTCATGAAATCATGGAATTACAGGATAATGGAATCATGGGAGCATAGAGTCATGGAGTATTGGGATAACAAAATCACAGAATTATGGGGTCACTAAGGTTGGAAAAGATATCTAATACCACCAAGTCCAACCTTTGCAAATCCTCAGTGAGTGCAGGAAGAATACAGTTGGGAATCTGCTCCAGCAGGAACTTACCAGAGAATGTGCCTCAAATTCCCGGAGAGCCTGGAGGATCCCAGGTTGAGCTCCCTGAGGCTCTGCAGCTTTCCCAGCTCCCTGGCCAGACACCGGATTCCCAGCACCGACTCCGGCGTTGGCCGCCGCACGTCAACATTGCTGTAGGGAAGTCGGAGGCTTCGAAGACCCAGGAATCGGGAGAGATGTGGCAAAACCAAGGAGAGACCCCCCAGTCCAAGGTTGTTGAAGCGAAGGTCCACCCTCCTTACGCCAGAGGGATCCAAGGATTTCAGCAGACTCACAATTCCAGCCAGGCAGAGCTCCTCGGCTTGGAACTCCCGGCACTTGAGGCGCAGTGGGCTGGTGTTCCCGGCCTGGAGTGCATCCCACAGGATTCCATAGGATGTTCCATTGACGAAGAGATCGGCGTGGATGTCGATGAATCGTGGAGTTGCCGTGGCGCCGGAACGGCCCTTGTGGCTCCTGGATCTGCATTTCTGGAGTTCCCGCTGGTGTTTGGAGACCTCCACACAAGCCTTGGCCAGGGCCACGGTGCCAGACCAGACACTCATCCCTTCCGGAGCACGGCCAGCGGCATCATCCCGGAGTCCCGTCACATCCAGCACACGGAGATGGCACCGGCTGGGCCAGGAAATGGGAAAAATAGGAATAAACAAGCAGGGAAAAACCACAGAAGTGGGTTCTGTGTATCCTGGAATTCCCAAGATTCACCTGGAATCATGGCCTGCTTCCTCCAGATCCTGCCGGAGCTGGTCCACCACGGCCAGGATGACGGACTGGATGCAGAGCTTGGAGGGATGATCCCGGAGCAGCTCCCGGTGCCCCACGATCCCCTGGAAGTTGAGGACTGGGAATGGCCACTGGGCCACCAAATCCTGCAGGACTAGAGGTCTCCCATCCAGGAACGCAGCTTGGAAGAGGACGGGATAGAGCTGGGCGGGGACAGTGGGAAGGGGGCGGTGGGCGACGAGCCGGCGGGCAGAGAGGAAGAGCAGGGAATCCATGAATCCAGGGGGCCTGCGGGATTTGAGGGGGGCACAGGTGAGGTTGGGGGACCCCCAGGATGGCCTCGGGGCGAGGGGTGGGTTGGGAGAATCCCAGGGAAGCCCCAAATCCAGGGATATCCCAGCAAAAAGGGAACTTGTGGGAGGAGAGGGGGAGGCAAAGGGGATGTTGGGGTGAGACCCCCAAGGCAGCCCCCTCCAAAAAGGGGCATCCCAAAGCTGCCAAAAATCCCCAAACCACCCCAAGTAATCCCCCCAGTCCACCCCAACCAGTCCAGGGACTCCTCCTCTCCAGCACCCCTAAACCAGCCCCTCCACCCCAGGGACCCCCCAAACCATGCCAAGGACCCCTCCCTCAGCACCCCCAAAAAAGCCCTCCCACTCCAGGACCTCCCCATGGGCCCCAAAACCAATCCAGGGACGCCCCCTCAGCCCCCCAAACCAGCTGAGGCATCCCCTCAGCCCCCCTAAATCAACCCAGGGCCCCTCCCAAGTCCCCCCACCCCACGGACCCCCCAAACCACACCAGGGACTCCCCAGAGACCCCTCAACATCCCCCAGGGACCCCCCGAGTCTCCCCCAAACACCCGCACGGATCCTCCCATCCCAGGGAGCCCCCGGAGAACCCCCCAGCATCCCCAAACCAGCCCTGAGACGCCTCCCCAGCACCCCCCAGACCCACCCAGTGACTCCCCCAGCACCCCTAAAGAAAGCTCAGGGACTCCCCAGCATCCTAAAACCACCCACTCCAGGGGCCCCCAACCACCCCAGAGATTCTTCTAGCCCAACGAAAACAGCCTAGGGACCTTTCCAGCCCCGATACCCCAGGGAAGCCCCAGGGACACACTAAACAAGCCCAGGGAGCCCTCCCAGCCCCTCTGAAGTACTCCAGAGACCCACCCCCCAAGGCAGCCCCTGCCCCTCCCCCCCATTGGCGCCCCCCACACACCGCCCACCCGCAGGCCCCGGCAGCTCCAGCCCGTACGGCGGCCCCACTTCCGGGTCTGCGCGCTGCCACCACCACTCAGAGAGCGAGACCCACCCCGGGGGCGGGTCTTCGCCTTTCAACTGGCTCCTATTGCTGTCTGTCATCGTTCTTCTCACTTCCCATCTGTAGGAGAGCGGTGTGGGCGGCCCTTTTGCGACAGACGCCCTTCCATTGGCTTGTTTTGCTGTCCATCACCAATCCCTCCCTTCCCATTGGCTGAAGCGCGACGCGAGGTTCGCTCTGAGCTAGGACCGGGGGCCTCTCGGAGCCCCTCGAGACCCCCAGGACCTCCCAAACTCCTCCCGGATCCCTCTGGATTATGAACCCGCTGCCATGGAGCGGCAGCGGGAGGTGAAGGCGCTGCTGCTTTAGGGAGGCTGGGGGTGGGTGTCCCTGGGATCATTTGAGGGGCCTGCGGTGGACCCAAAAAAACCCATAAAAATGCCCCCCAAATCCCTTCCCTGTACCATTCCACAGAGGCCCCCCAACGACATAGCCCCAAAAGGGGGGAAAGAGGGGCGGTACCCCCCAGAGTGGGGAAGGGGACTGGGACCCCCGAAATCAGGCGGAGAAGGTGCTGAAGATGGTGGGCGGGGGAGGGGGGGGGGACCATGAGAAAAGAGAAGAAGGGGGGGGGTAAAAGGGGAGTGGGTCCCCCCAGCTCAGTGCGGGGACGCTGAAGATTGGGGGACAATGGGTGTATGAGAAATAAAATACAGTGTTATTATAAAACCAAATTATAGGCGCATTGTGAAGTTGTAAGGTATCCAGTTCCAAATTGGATAAGGTACTAGGTTTTTTTTTTTTTGCAGACGGGATAAAGGAAATATAAAGTTCCTTTAAATTAAAATTCCTCAAAATTAAAATCTTTCGGGCCCATGTGGAAAATTTTTTACACAGGGGTTTCTTTCCTCTCTTTGGGCTAAGAACAAAGGAAGATCCATCATTTTTGACAGAGGATGCCTCGCAGCCAATCAGAAGGAAAGAAAAGTCCCTTTTCGGAGAAAAGAAACCTTTTTAGGCAAAAATGAATATATTAAACTTATCTAAAAAAGGGTGGGATTTTGTGAAACTATAAAATGTATAAAATTTAAAGCCAAGGGGTCTTTTTCTCCCCGGGAGCTCGGTGTTAGATGAGACCCAGCACGTGCTGAATAAACCTTTCCTTGCTGTTAAAGTTCCTTTGTTTTACAGTTAATTGAATCTTTCTAAATTAAATAATGAGAAATTTCTCACAGGTGCGGGACGGGGAAGAAGGGGGGGGTTTGAACTCCCAGACTGAGCGGGAAGGGGCTGAAACCGTGAAACCGAGCAGGGTGGGGGAGGGGGGACACCCCAAAACAAGCTGGGGTTTGTGGGGATGATGGGAAAGGGGTGGGAGAGGGAGGAAAAGGAGTGGGACAGCTGACAGGGGCATCCCATGGGGATCCTGTAGTAGGATGCTCTGCCTGGAATGGGGTGAATGAATTCCAACAAGGCCCTGTTTGCAAAGCCCCCAGTGGGAAATGAAGAAGGGGGGTTACACTGCTTTTGGGGTTGAACAAAGCTGAAACCAGCCTGACTCATCAATACCAAAGGGAAACATCCTGAAAGGGAGGGGAAGATGTGGCAGAGCTGGGAAAATCCCTGGAGAAAGGAACAAATGACACCACTGAGAACTTCTCCAAAGCTGCTGAGCTGGCACAGCCTGGACTGACAGCCCAGCACCTTATACTAGGAGCCCCCCCTGCAGTCCCCTTTCCCCCCAGAACCTGGCCATAGCAACCCAATACACCAGGTTAAGTACAGCTGGCCTGTCCACCTTGGTCAAGATGGTCTGTGACACGTCATGTAAAATTTCTCTACTGTCTGTACCTACAATCCATCCCTGATGTCCTGTGGAACTTTATTGGTGACTGAAATGATAAAACACCACGTGCTTGAGCAGCAAACATCTGTCCAATGTCTGCAGGAGGAAAGAGTGCCCTGGAAGCAGGGCCCGGGGAGTCTTCTCCTGCCTCCAACTGGAGACACCCAGGACCCTCAAAAGCTCAGAATTGCCATAGTACCACTTCCCACGTGCTCCAAGGGGAAAAGCCTAAACACAATGTCTGTGGCATTCATTAGTTCCTGAATTTGTCCTTGAGGATGTTCATATTTCATCACCTTTTGATGAAATATGGCCTCTTTGAGGATGTTTTGGTGTGTTCGTGTCTCACAGTGACATCCCCTCCATGGCCAAGGCCGAGCCCATCAGACATGGCACTGACACCTTGGGGATAAGGTACTATTGAAGGTATTGAAGGTCTTTAAGAAGGAAAAAGATCTTGAGCAGCTGTCCAAAGAAGAGCAGAGGGAGAATATGTAAGGGAAACAGCTCTGCAGACCAGGGTTTACATAATTTCTATGGAATTATGAGAGGAATTTTGTACCTTGACAAAGCCACTCTGTGATGTTATCTGAGCAACAGATTATGGATGTTGTTGGATGCCTCAAATAGCATCCTTCTTTGGCTCAGCTCAAACGGCACAAGCAGTTCCTGACCAAAACAGCCAAGCCTAAGGAGGTTATTCCTGTCAGAGACTCTGAAGTTAGGCAAAAATTCACCAGATGTGCAGGGCACAGTATGTTCAGGCCAACATCCTGCCAAATCCAACTCCCATCCCCAGCTGGTCTCAGTCCTGGCAGCAGAGTCCTGCTCTGCCCAGAGTGTCCCAGGCTGGTGGCAAATGGAACAGGGCCTGACTGGAATGATTGTGCCCTTGCTTTGCTTCCAGGGCTGACAGATAGGCCGGACACGGAATTGGCTCTTCTGTACATATGTTTTACATGTTATTGTTTTGTTGTCCTTCCGTAAATATATTTCATACATTATTGTTGTATAGGCCCTGATAATGTAAATAGATTTTATACACTCTTGTGTATAAAGATTCTTATAATGTAAATACATTCTGTAGTTCATTCGTTTTGCTGCTTTTCTGTAAATAAATAGTCTTTGTTTTTCACACCCCAGCTCTCCTTCCATTTGCTTTGGGCACATGTAGCATTTGCAGAGTTGTGCTTTCTACTTGGTCCAGGTTCCTGGGTCTGGAGGTGTCTGGGGGTGCTGGCACAGCCCCCCGGGGGTGGGGGAGGATCTGTGCACAGAGGGGTCCCACTTGGGAAGGTCCCGGCACTGGGCAATGCTGGTGGCACTGGGCAATGCTGGTGTCCCTGGGCTGGGGCAGAGTGGTGTCCCCAAGTGCAAAGCTGTCCCCAGCAGACAGGGGGACTGACATGAGCAGCCCCTGCAGTGCTGCCCCCAAAGCAGACAGGAAACCTCCTGCTCCCCTTCCTGCTGGAACCAAAAGGACTCCTGGGATGACAGCTGGGATCAAGTCGCAGAGATGCAAAATCCCAATTGATGCCCCGGAGGCCATGAGAGCCTTGGGAATTACTGGAATCAGGATGTGGGGAGAAGGTTTTGGAGCTGGAGGGGCTGATGCTTAAGCCTTTAAAGCTCCAAGCACTCCAGGCTTTGCTTCCCATCCCCATGGCATTACCCTGGGCCGTTGAAGAGCCCAAAGCCAAGTGAATGGTCCTTACCCTGCCTGGATTCCTGCAGCTGGCAGCAGGCACTGGCCCATGTCCTCCCACTTAGGGTGACACATTGAGGGGGCAGCTCAGGCTGCGGTGGGGAGGACCCGGGGAGCTTTGGTGTGAGGGTGCTGGTGCCAGGGTGCCAAGGTCCCCATGGGTGCAGGTGCCTCGAGGTGAGTGCAGGATGTAGGAGCCGTGGGTGCTGCAGAGAGTCCCGGGGAATGTGATGCTGAGAGGTGCAGGGGTGTGGGATCAACGACAGATCAATCAACATATTTACTCCCTGTTGGTCCAAAGCCAAGGAATGCAGACAAGGTGCTTCCCTGCACTTTCCCCTGCTCAGGCTCCATAGCCTTTCCCCCATCCCACAGCCCCGCAGATCTGCTGATCCCACACCCAGGGCCCTGCACCTCCCACTGCTCCAGCACCACAACCCTCTTTCTCTCAGGCTTTCACTCCACCCCCACCTTGTTACTTTACCCAGATTTCCCACAAGGAGTTTGAAGCTTCATCGATAAGTTTTTATGAAATACTCTGTGCCCCACCTCCAGTCAGACACTCATTAATCCCTTTTCTGCTCCTTGGGGTCTCATGTAAGAGACTTGGTCCACAGCAAAGCTCCCACTGGTGCAGCTCCAAGGACTGCACAAGGACAAAATCAGCAGGAAATCAGCCCTGGAGAGCAGAGGCTTTGACACCTGCTGGTATTTCCAGCCAAGAGCTGGTGAGAGGCTTTGGGAGAGTGGGGAGCAGGTGAAGGTGGATGCTGAGTCTGGGCAGGAGGACACTAAAAGGACCTTGTGAGAGAGCTGTGTAACAGAGCACAGAGTTGTCTCCGAGCCAAGGGAGAAGCTGCCCTGTTCCACACCAAGACAGGCCCTCTCACAGTCCCAGAAAGCACTGAGTGTATTAACTTTATCCTTGAGGAGGTGACAAAGGAAAAAGCAAAGGACTTCTGCACACCTCTATCTTTCCCTGCCCTGCTCCTACACTCCCACCACCATGCTATGCCTGCTGGAGAGCCTGGAGATGCCCCATGAGCTGCCTTGAGGGAAACACCAGGATCTGGCAGCAATTTGTTCTGCTTCCCCTTCCCAAAACTAAACCAGCTTCTTCCTTTCCCATCCCATGAAACAATCAAGTTTAAAATCTCTGTTGACAGGAGGAAAAGTACCAGCAAAACCTCAGCTCTGGACATGAGGAAAGCAGACTTCAGGTTGCTCAAGGAATTAGGAAGTAAGGTCTCCTGGGAAAATGTTTTTGCGGGTGCTGGGGGCCATCAGTGCTGGTCACTTTTCAAACATTATCTCCTGAAGGCACTGGAGCAGCAATTCCCAAACATCAGAAGTCAAGCAGGTGAGACAGAAGGCGGCTTGGTTGAGCAGGGATCTTCTCTTGGAGATAAGACAAAAAAGGAAGGTGTGTGCCCAGTGGAAGCAAAGTCAAGTGACATGGGAAGAATTTAGAGATGCTGCTTGTCACTGTAGGGAGAAAGTTTGTGTGGCCAAAGCTCAACTGGAGCTGATAGCTGCCAGAAAAGTGGGGGACAATAGAAGAGTTTTTTCAAATACGTTAACGGCAATAGGCAGCATAGAAATATCATCTGCCCATTCCAGGATGGGGATGGTCACCTCTCAAATAGGGACACAGAGAAGGCAGATGTGTTTAACACTTTATTTGCCTCTGTCTTCAATAGGGATGACGGACCAAGGGGGTTTCAGTGCCCTGAGCTGCAGGGCCATGATTAGCAAGAATGATCAACTCCCAGTTGACCCTGAACTTGTGCAGGATCTGCTGCTCCAGCTGGATCACTACAAATCTCTTGGGCCTGATGGGATTCATCTGAGAGTCCTCAAAGAGCTGCTGATGTCATCACAAAACCTCTCTCGATGATTTTTGAGTGGTCTTGGGAATCCAGGGAGGTCCCAGCTGACTGGAAGATGGTGAAAATTGTCCTGATTTTCAAGAAGGGCAAGAAGGAGGACCCT